CGAGCGCCCCCCTCCTGAATCATACCAGGCCACATGCCCTCAACATGGGGGGTGCTTTGGGGCAGGGGGCAAGGGGGCAAAAAAATCGGCTGATTTTCGGGCCGTTAGTGGGTTAATTGGTCAGCCATTTTGGGGATTTTGCAACTTTTTTTTAATTGGTAAATTTGGATAAAAATTGGCTGATTTTGCAGATTGGCCGATTTTAGCTGCAATGATCGGCAAATTGGCTGATCTTTTAACAGATAAAAAATCTACACATGAGCCATGACCTGCAAGAAAAAGAAGACGGAAATGAAAAAGAAGAATAAAAAAAAAAGAATAAGAAAAAGAAGAAAAAGAAAAATGCAGGCCATAGATGGGGCGAAAACTGACCGTTTAAAAAAAAAAAAATCGGTTGTTCAATGGGCCGACGTTACCACCAATGGTAAAAAAATTGTTCGATTTTCGCCCCATCTACGGCCTGCAAATATAATAGCAAAGTAATTACTTCTGTCCCTGCAGAGAGCTGCGCTATTATATTTGACATTAAAAAGTCTAAAGGTTGCAACATTGTATCTATTTGTATCCAAATAAAAACATCTGTATCCGAAATGGACACAAATAGATACAATGTTGCAGTCTCTATACTTTTTAATGTCAAATATAATAGCGGAGCTCTCTGCAGGGACAGAAGGAATGTTTCAGCTGTCATCGGGGTTTCCCACTGACAGCTGAATTTTAAATTATTTCCGTGCATTAAATAAATAATAAAAAAAATTGCGTGGGGTCCCCCCTCTCATCCATACCAAGCCCTTCAGTGGTATGGATATTAAGGGGGAACTCCACGCTGAAATTTAAAAAAAAAAAAACAGCGTGGGTCCCCCTCAATATCCATACCAGACCCGTATCCGAGCATGCAGCCCGGCAGGTCAGGAAAGGGGGGGGGGGGATGAGCAAGCGCCCCCCCCTCATGAACCATACCAGGCCACATGCCCTCAACATGGGGGGGTGCTTTGGGGCGGGGGGGCTCCCCCCCCAAAGCACCTTGTCCCCATGTCGATGAAGGGCTTGGTAAGGATGAGAGGGGGGACCCACGCTGTTTTTTTTTTTTTTTTTGTTTTTTTTTATTGCGGACCTTTATTTTTACATTCAGCTGTCAAAATAAATATTATCTAGACCTTTGAAATAAGTAAAATAATTACAGAAATAATTATAAAGGATAAGAAACAAAAATAGAATCACTAGAACTAAGGAAATCTAATTAGATTACATGAAGATATGCTGAGTGCTGTTTATTAAACACAGTAGTCACGACCGAGTGTCGGCTGTCAGAGGAATCCACAGTAAGATTCACTATTAGGCAGTGGCTAAAAAAACAAACGCCCATGGCAGACGTCTAAAATGTGTTCTGCACATGCTCAGTTGTATCTGCCAAAGACACTGCACGGGCTTCTAGATTTTTACTGTGTCGATTTCCTTGAAAAAAAACGATTTTTAACACATTCTTAATTTTTTTGGAAATAGCAGATATTGTTTAAAGTGAAGTCCTGATATTTGGCAAAGCAAATTTCTAAGTGAACATGTCTCTGCAGTGATTTTTTCATGGTGTTAGACGTGCTTCTTAGCAAGTCTGCTTTGTGAGTCTGATTCCGTGGCGTGTGTCTTTTTGTGAATTAGATTGGGCATCTGCTTATGGGTGCTGGTCAATAGTGAATTTGGTTGCAGGGTAAAAAATAGATGGTCGCCCATGAAAATTGGGCGTTAGCCCATGAATATGCACCCACGCCCAATAGTGAATCAAGGCCAGAGTGTCTTGTAATAAATGATTGCAGAGCCCAAATGGAAGACAGTGACTATTTGTAGTCCAGTGGAGGAAACAGGTTAAACTTGGGTATAATGTGGTATAGATTGTTGCACATCTTCACCCCCCCTCTAGCACCCAAAGGGAATAGGGGTACTGTCCCAGGGAAGATTAGAATGGACAAGACCTCCCTCATACATAAACAGAGTTGGTCTTCCAATGGCAATGGTGTAGACAAGTGAAGGAGCAGTCCCTTAGATATGTATGGTATACGTCTTCACTCCCCTCTAGCACCCAAAGGAATAAGGGTGCCGTACCAGGGAGGGTTTGAATGAACAAGGCCTCCCTCATACATAGACCAAATAAATATTCCAATAGCAACTGTGTACATATATAAAAGGAGTCCCCAGGAACGTACTAGAGCATGGGTCTCTAAGTAAATACAGTTCATAATACAGGGGCTGAATCCAGTGCAGATTGATACTTATCAGACTGAGGCATGAGTCATCATTAATGGATCTGGGGGTGTGAAGACACCCTTCCTGACCAGTTTCCTGGTGTAAACCAGCTGCTTTAGAGGTATGCTTCAAAATCCTTTGGTTTGCTAAGAAAAATTAGTCCCATTAAAATGGCCGCCATGTACCTGAACACCACACCGCAACATGCGCATTTTTGATGCATTCACTTCAATGGACTGCCAAATGCAGGAGCTTGGAAAAAGTACACCAGGTGCGACTTTTAAAATTCCGCTGCACCTAACCACTTGGTACTGCAACCATGTGTTTTGGTGGCTGCAAACACACGTGTGTTTGCTAGATGTTGTTGAGCTGCTATTAACAATAAATTTCACCCACGTTCATCTGCAAATGGCAGCGCATTACCAGGCGGTGCAGGAAACACAATTGGAAACGTGCACATCCTGCATCGCAACTGTTGAGAAAGGGTCCTAAACCAGATTGTTCATAAATTACAGTGGAACCTTAATGGAAACAATAACAATTTTTTAGTTCATCCCATTTTATTTATATTAAAGTTTATTTCTAGGGACATTGCGCTGCTGAGTAAGGATGGGAGAGTGATATTTCCAGAGACACTGCGCTGCCACGGATTCGAAAGTTATATTTCCAGGGACATTTTTAAACCAAGGTGGTTTGTGTGATGCCTTCAGAGCAGGGACGGACTGACAACTCATGGGGCCCCCGGGCAATAGGGGATCATGGGGCTCCTGTGTCCTTTCCCAAACTCAAAAAAGCCTATGAAAAAGGTACCAGGGGCATTTCATGGGGCCCCCTACTGACCCCGGGCCCTCGGGCAGTGCCTGAGTTTCCAAATGGTCAGTCCGCCCCTGCTTCAGAGACACATTGGTGCTGAGCTTGGAAAGGGAGAATAATATTTTTTTCCCTTCCTTTAGATTGTAAGCTCCACGAGCAGGGCCCTCATATTCCTTCTGTACTGAAATGTATTGTAATTGTACTGTCTCCCGTTATATTGTAAAGCGCTGCACAAACTGTTGGCGATATATAAATCCTGTATAATAATAATAGTATTTTATGGGACATTGCATTGCTGGGCTAGGGATGATAAGAATGGGAAACAACAAAGAGTGTTTCATAATAAACTCTAGTAAAGACAGATTACAAATTTTGGTCAGTCATACTTTCTGATAGCTTTCATCTTATAAAGACACCTTAGTCATGGTCATGGTGACTGGGATAATAATGCACATTTAAAACATGTATGAACCTTTAAAAAAACATCAATCGGTATTATGTAAACAATATTCAGCAACAGCATCGCTATGGCCAGGCTTCCAATCCAAGAATCTACAAAGATGAATACAGGGTGAGTCCCTATCACCCTAGCCTGGGATCAGCCTGGGAGGTCTTAAATGTGAAGTCAAGTCTTGAGAAAGAAATTACTGGGTTTTGCTGTGATTTAAATAAGCTTTGATACCATATTCAGCATAAAAATATTGTATTACTACATTAAATATGGTGTTAGACCTTACTTCCTTTTCTCTGTGCTATCAGGTACAGTCACTTGAAGGCTTAGTGACTGTCCCAGTAATGTCACGTGAGGGTCCTTAGTCCAACAAAAGTGCCAGGTCAACATCTGAAATCTCTCTCTCTCTCTCTAGAGAGAGAGAGAGAGAGAGAGAGAGAGAGAGAGAGAGATTAAAGTGTTACTAAACCCAGGACCCTGCATTCATTATATCTGGTCACCCACAGGACACAGAACATGGGAATGCAATTATTTTAGCAATTATAAACTGCTAAATACCTTTTCTCATCAGCAGTATATAACAGTCTTGTGACTTCTATCAATGTTCAGCTGAGCACATGTTAAAGCTTGTAGGAGGAGTTTTCATTTTGCTCTAGGAGGATGCAAAACCCCTGACCTCCAATTGGCCCCGTGCTGATCACATGCACTCTCCCAAAAAAAAAGCCCCACTAGCAATACACACTAAACTGAGCATGTGCAGAGTGTCTCCACACGATATAGGATAAGAGATGTCAGGATCAAACAGCATTTTTTACCCAATTCAGAGGATTAACCCCTTAGGTTCCATGGTGAGTATAACAAGCATGCTTTACTGCATATACAGACTGATTTTACTGTTGTGGGTATAGTAACACTTTAACTTTAAAAGGTATATATAGCATGTTGTGTATATTTTCTATTTATTAGGTGTGGAAACAAAATATAAATGGGCATTTTGTTAGAATAATGAAATATTGCACAATAATGCTTTATATTTACATTGCTACATTCAGTTTAAGAAGCAAAGAAAGAATGAAGCATTATAGGAGATGATAATGACTCATACATATGTATCATACTAGACTTAATTAATTTGTCATTTGTAGTTTAAGAAACTTCAATATTTAAAGCACACACAGCACAAACCGCTAGCTGCAATGTTAGCTAGCACTGAGTAATTAAAAAATTGGAAGCATACCTAAGTATCATCCAAAGCAATATTTGAGCTGTTTCTGTGCCAGGAAGTATGGTGTTGATTGAAATGAAGTCATTAATATTGTTAACACACTTTGATGATCTCGAGACTGTACGGCATTTCTGGAGGCTCATAGGTTAATTAATCTCAGTACTCAATGGAATCTATGACATGCTTTGTCCATAATAATGGGAGGGCCATTTATGATTGTATTCAGAATAAAATGGATGTATATTTATCATTCTAGGCAGTGTACTAGGCATGCATTAATCAGTCCGAGGCTTCAATTCCCTCCTAGCGAGAAGCCAAGAAATCTTCTCTCTTCTGTTTTCACGCAATTGCCCTCAAGAGTACAGAGACTTGACTTTACAGTTAGTGGTGTCGTTTTACTAAGCACACACTTCACTATAACTAATGAAAGCTGAATAGTAGTAGTGGACTTTTCAACTTCAACAATTGCAGCCACAATTAAAAATCTACAACTTGAAAATACAGGTATGGTGGATTGCTTTACTAATTTTCAAAATGGAATTATTAACATCTGCAGCTGATAGAATTTAGCTGAGCTGTCCACCTATAATGGAGCCAGGTATCTAACTTACCTAATCAATCATGAGTGTCACAGATCAGAAGTAAAAGCTGCTGCTGATCTGTCATTTGTGGTTACACAGTCCAGCAGACCAGTCTCACAGACCAGCAGGCAATCCAATATGTTAATTGTAGTTCCACAGCTCTAACATGCAAAATGTTCTCTATTCTTACCTGGTTCCTGTGCATGACTGGGTGCTATAGGCATTAGTTTGTCTGTCCTGCTGATTCATATAATGGCTATATGGCTAGTCCCTGCCCAGCCTTGCGAATTCTCTCTAAGTCATGCTACAGCCAATCAAAGAAGCGCCCTTCCCCGTTTATCAGGCTGCAGCCAATCCAAAAGGCTTCTCTCTCTGCTTGTCTATTTAAGCTCAGTTCAGCTCTCTGCTGCCTAAGCAATGCTTTTGCAAGCTAGTTGCCAAGCCCTGTACCTGCTTGCTATCCAGAATGCATTCCTCAATTGACTCCCATGTATTGACTTCTGGATTTGCTTCCTGGATATTTGTGTTTGCTAATAGACCTGACCTCTGACCTGTACCTTCCATTCCAAGTCTGCAACCAGTGAGTGTCTAGTACAGTGTTTCTCAACCTTTTTTCAGTCAAGGCACCCTTAAAATTATGGATATTCCTGAGGCACCCTTTAAAATGTTGAGGCAGTCTAGAGGCACCCTTTAAAAATATGGACAGTCTAGAGGGACCCCATTTCTAAAATGGGGTGCCTCTAGACTGTCCATAATTTAAAAGGGCACTCCATTCTAAAATGTGAAAAACTATTCTAATAGTTTTTATATAAACGCAGCAACACCCACACATGTAGGACACCTAACATTAGAGGTGATTTATTCTGCCAAAGAAAATACACTTTTGCACACTGAGTAGTATTTCAATGTTTCTACTCTCCCTCAGTTTTTCTCCATCACTGAGCTAATGTGACCCCAGCACTGATGGAGAGGGGCAGGGGAGGATCAAATGAGGATGCTGTACAGGCAGCTGACATCCTCCTTATCAACTGATGATGTCATTGGTTGTCAGCATGTAGGTGGCTAGAAGATTGTAATGGTGCACCATGAAAACCTGTGGCTTTGTGTAACTAAAAGGCAGGCTTGTTCCACCCGCTGGCTTGTATACAAGTTTGGGGCAAAATTGTAGACATTTTGCCAAGGCACCCCTGAGGAAACATCAAGGCACCCTGGTTGAGAAAGGCTGGTCTAGTACACTTAGTGGAGGGGAACACTTGATGGTGGTTTTTTGGTTTTTTGGATGCATTGCTCGATCACTGTACAAAGCACTTTTTAAAGAATCTGTGATGAAGTATGATGGACACTTTTGGACATTTATCAAAATTAACATATGCACACTTTCACTTGTTACTTAATACTTAAGTCACCAGATTGTATTATAATTTTTTTATTAATTTTGCACTGTTGGTTTGATTGTACATACTAGGCTTTATATGATAATTGGTGTTCACTAATATTTTACATTTTACCAGTGCAAGCACCGTTATTAATTTTGTCTGCAGAAAGCCTCATCCTCTGAACTATCACCACTGTGTATATTCCCACTTCAGACCTACTGGTACCTTTTTGGTACTTTCTTGTTTCTGAGTCCCTGGTTTTGTGTAGAGTAAACCTAGGGGTTTTTAACTAGGGTCAACATGAAACAAAGCCCATCTCTATCATCAGGAGCTCTGGTGAATACTGGTTGGCCTCTAAATTCAATGCCCCTGGGAATCTTGCATCATCTGCTTTTACAATGGCCCATCATACAAAAATATTGTATAGACATGCTACACAGAATGTAAGAATTTTATTAGGTTGCAATTAAAAAGGGAAGTCAGGAATGTCAGAGATGACAGTCAGAAATGTAGCACAGACACACTTCATGTCATGTAAGGCTTTTTTTTTTTACTAAGCAGCAATATAGGAGGAAGAGATGAGGCAGATTGTATCTTAAATTATTATTATTATTATACAGGATTTTTATATAGCGCCAACAGTTTAATCAGCACTTTATAATATAATGGGAGACAATACAGCAACAATACAGTTCAATACAAGAGGGAAAGGAGGGCCCTGCTCCTTGGAGCTTACAATCTAGGTCAATATTACAGTGTATTAGTTCAGAGACAACAGCCAGAAATAAAAACAGACAAGCCAGAATTATTGCACTGGCACACTGCACATCATGTAAGCACTTTTACTAGGTCACCCACATGGAAGAAAAATATATTTGAAATATATTTTGAAAATATTCTTCCCAAATATATTGACATATATTTGAAATGCTACAATTTTGGCCATATTCAATATATTTCAAAATATATTTAAATAAATATATATACACTGCATATTGAAATGCATTTTTTTTACAAAATGTATTAAAAATATTTTTAAAATACATTTCAAATATACTGTATGTCTTTAAACATACAAATCTACATATTTGGAATGCATTTACAAATATATGTAAAAATATATGTTAAAATGACTTTTTTATATGTTAAAAACAATCTGAAGAATATATTTTTTTTGCCCTGGTACAGCTTAAAACAAGTGCTTCATGGGTTTTTATTCCAGACCAGATGCCAAGGTATGTCCTATTCTGGACCTTAAAAAGCTCAAAAGGGGGATTTAGGATGTGGTGCTTTGGTACACTTCAATGTGGTGACTTGGTACAGTAAACTAGAAATAAAGTAAACAAATGGCATCTTTGCCTGTGTCAACAAGTTCATTATGCTGACCCTAGAAAAAAAATTTAAGACACTGTTAAAACCCCAAACACCAACCCTAAAAACACTATAACCCATACCCCTTTTTTTATAGGAATCAACGGAAAAAAACCTTAAAAAAAAAACTAAAATATCCATCCAAAAAGGAAAGGTGGAAACATCAGCTAAACCGCTACAGAAGTTGTTCTTGACAAACACTAAACAGGAAGCCCTAAAAAGTACTGGTGTGTATATTCATTGTGAATACCATTGGCAGTACACAATAATATGTAAATTACCATTCACATAATGGAGCACTTTACAATAGAAGTGAATACCGGGGGGTACACTCTACTCTTTGCAGCCCACCTCACTGCAATTCACTGTAATGTAGCAGCGGCACTATACAGCACTGTACATAGCATCAAATAGCTTTGTATGTAGCATGGGACAGCTAATTTTATAGGGAGGAGGCTGACACAGGGGTGTATTTACCAAAAGGCAAACAAGGCATTTGCCCAGGGTGGCATTTCTCATGGGGGCAGCACCGCTCCCCTGAAAAAGGGACAGAAGCAGGGACACACGTAGCATGGGGACCAGGTGGAATCCGAGAGAGGCTGCATGCTGCTTGACGGTGGACGGTGTATGCAGAGCCCGAATCTCATTCCACGGGATGTCTGGAGCTGTGAAGGTGAGTGTCTCTCTCTCTCTCGCAGGGGGGTGGTGGTAGTGGAAGGCTTTCTCGAGTGGGGGGGGGGTGGTGTTACTTGATGTCAGCCTCTCTCTGTGGGGGGCATGGTCGGTTTTTTTGCTGCCTAGGGCAGAACAAAACCTAAATACACCACTGGACTGACACATTTACAAACCCCCATTACTGGCCATATTATGCCACCTGACCACAGTTCATGAAATACATTATTGCTAATTAGGTTTTGGCTCAGCAATGAACAAACTCAAATGTTTGCTCTTTTCATGAATTACAAACATGTAAAATTGAGGTTGAACCTCAAACCAAACTGGAATATCATACCTATGTATTTTTAAATACAGCTAAAGTAAGAACCATGTTTTTATATTAGCTTCTGAATACCTACACTGTAGCATTCAACTTAATAGAAGAAAGACTAGGTGCAACCCGTAA